CTTGGTTTCCTTCGAAAAGCAATGGAGACCTTTTAAGTTCTTTTGAACGCTTGAGCTTGGCGTGAATTTGGTCCAAATCTGGCGCGATTGCGTTGTTCAACAGTTTTTGCGACAACCTAACCTTTTCAAAATCCAACAGCAGTTTTTATTATGCTGTCCTCTTAAGAAGTAAAGTGTTGGAAAAAAAACCACAATGGAAAAGTTTTGTGGAAAATTGATGTTCATAAGCAATTTCGTATTTATATATGATACATTGTCACATAGGAGACTTTTTTCGAAACATCTGTATTTGTGAGATTTTGGGAAATTCTTAGGTGGACGTATAATTATGGGACGCAGTGTATGTTCTTGCGGCTTGGTGCCCCGCCCCCAAATGGGTTCAAAAAAATAACTCAAGCGCCACACCTTTTTGACACCAGTTTTTGACAAATACGTACTCACTTGGGTTGATGGTTCCGATAGTAGTAGGGCATCCATTACTAGCCCCGGTTACCATCATGCAATCATTCATGGGAAACGAAAAACTTTGTCAGCACGCGGGGTGAAACCATGAACCAATCTTCTGTCGTTTTTCTGCTGTTCAGGGGGCCGCTCAGTGAAATTGAGGCATGGATGTTTTTTTATATGAGTTGCGGTACAAGTTGAGCTGCATAAAAAAGACTTTCACGTTTGACAATCAATTTATCAATTGTAATGGAGGAGCTAAAAAAAATAGGCATTTATAGAAGTGGCGGAGATAAAAAATTAATTTTAACGAAGTATTAGTACAATTAGTTCTATTCTATTTTGAATTAGTTGGTTTATATCGATAGTTAAATATTAATTTATTAACAACGCCTTCGATTTTCTTGTATTTGAGTTTTTTTGTCCTACTCAGGGTTGAATATTAGACTTTTATAAGATCTGTTCATCGAACAAAGCAACAATTGAGAATGAATCTTTCAAAAATTCAATACTTTCACAACTTTCCTTTCGTATTTGAGTTCCACGCACATATCCCTATATCATTCAAGACAGAGTTTTGAAAAAGCTGGGCGCGACCTGAGAGGTCCCTTCCTGGTTGGATTTCCTTCGAAATTGTAAAATCAGACCACGAAGCAGCTTTGGAGCATTCAGAACATCCATGTTGAGGTTTTTGTTTTTATAAATTATTCCAGCTGTAGCATTCGGCTCTGAAAGTTGCTATGGTGGGTAAAGGTTGATCTTATCGACAGAACACCTGCAATACAGCGCCTTTAGCCACTGCGCTGAATTGGTTCATGGAATTAATGATGAAGCCTCTAAATGGTCCCGTTCATTATCAAGCTCCATGATTTCATTCTAACCAATGCCAAAGGTCAAAGCCCCCTTGAGCGCTCAAATTCCTGTATACTAGAGCAGCATGGCTTGTGACAGGATGCGACTGTCCAAGAGAATTTCTCATGTCATGTTTTTATGACTTTACAAAGTTAGCAAGTGCATGGCTTGTATTTTCGGGAATGATGAATAATCAGACTCGAATTGATGTATTCTTTAAGATCGTTACTAATAATACTTACTATTACGTTGCCACTGTTGCTATACTTCTTTCCGGTATCTTCCTTTGTTTATCGACCGTAATTGCTAGTAATTGTTCTCTTAGCCACTCAAGTTCGAGACAGGATTCAGAATAACTCTCCCACGCAATTTACTAGATTCCTCATTGTTTCCCGTACTTGGCTCAGAAAGACGGAAAATCTGAAGGAAGCCGCTGTGACATCATCGACGTTTATGAGGTCTTTGTCTAGCACTAGCGGTACTAAACAGCTGGACTTCCATGGGAGTAACTTGCAAGCAGAGGTAAACGCCAACGTTCGCCAATTTCAACACCCTTCTCGTAATTTCTCCATACACTTCCCCCCCCCCTCCACCACCAGCAGCCATGGAATTCTCATACGACCTTCTCTTTATCACCATGACCAATTGAAGCATTTGATTATGAGACTAGGCGGCACAGTCAATCTCACTCCGAAATTTCCTCCGGAACTGAGTCGAGCAGGGGAGGTTGGGAGGTGTGGAGTGGCCATGAGTGAGTAGAGCGTGCGGAACAGGAAGTTCTGTATAACTTTGCCTTATGAGATGGCCCAGTTTGTTCAAATTCGCCATTCAGCGTGCATTATTTTCCGTAGTACTTTTGAAAAAAAGCCCGTGAGAGCAACCTCCTCTTTCCCCACTACTACGCAACCCCGCAATTTTGTACTACGATATCCTCTAAAAATTTCATACACGATCACCTCATCACAACCACAATGACCTGAAGTACGTTCCTCACCAGAATCACAAGTACTTCTCGTCGAAACCCTGAATGGAATCTTGCAAGCTTAGTGAATATGTATCCATTCAGCGAACGGATAGTTGACCATGCTGGCAAGATTCCAATAGATGTTCACTGGGAGCGGGAAATGCTAGGATGATGTCCATAGTCGCTTAGGGAGATGAACAAGCTTCCCACTTCTTAGTATGTGCCAATTTAGGTCAGAAATCAAGGAGAAGGATAAACTACGTGAAACGTGCAGATTGATTCGGGTTAAGAGGATGTGTAAGTCATCAACTGAACCAAAAAGCTTTAGTCATACAAGCTGCTGGGAATACAAGGAGGTATAGCATTTCATTCCATAATATCCCTATGTGGCACTGGGTCATGGTCCATTGTTACAGCCATACATCAGCAGGAGAAACCATTTTTCAGCGCTATCATAAGGTACGGGGCGGGGCATCTTTAGGACTAAGTCTAGGAGGGGCAGGAATGACAGAAAATCGAAAATTGCCTAAGCGCCCTAAAGCTTCTCGTACCCCAGTCCTGATTTCGATGAAGATGCTCTATGCCGTTTCAAGTGCATAGAGCATGTTCTTGTTGAAATCGATGCCACCATATGTTGCGATAGCGAACATTCTTCTTCTTTCATACCAGAAGTCACCTGAATGTTTCGTCTAACTGCTACATATGTGACCCTGTCAAGTGTGAATGAGTTGTGAGATCCACTCTATGTGCCGCTAATTAGAGGTTAGGCTGAACCATATGCCCACTGAAGGGACGCTCGATCTCAGCAGGAGCTTTAGCTTTTAATGAGCTGAGCAGCTTTCGTGATACCCGCCCCTAAATTAAAAACTTCACAAGTGTGTTGAGCCACACCTGAGGAAATCGAAGAATCGAAGCATAAGCTTAATAATCTCTTTGTCTTTGAAAGGCCTGAAAAAATATTCCTGCTGTATTCATCATATCGAGATTGCAAGAAAGTTGGACAGGGATTATTCTAACTATACATTCTGTGCCCTGTACAGAGCGTGTTACCCGGTAGGTAAAGCTCATATTGCGCTGTCGAGAAAACAAGTGATACTGAGGGTGTAGTTGTAATCGGTTATTACACAGGTTTACACCCATACCGAGGAAAAAGCGTAAGATGAAGCCCAGATGTAACAAAAGGAACAGTTTTTAGGAACATCTATCATCACAAAGTAAGGACTACAACTGAGAAAAACAGCAAATTATGAAAAGCAATGCTGATAGAATGTGAGATACTTTCCGAAGGCTTTCTGGAATGAACTAATCAAGGTGAGCTCCTCCTGCAATAGTTGTCTCAGATCATTGTTATCAAATATATTCTGATGTGTGTAAAATCGGATTCGTAACAGCTTAAGCAACCTTCTCAACCATTAGGGCTTGATTTTTTGACAGAAACTTTTTCTCTGAGCGAAAAATGGCTGACGAATGGCTAGCCTCCAGTATTTCTGTCAACCAAAACTACATCCCAATACCTTCGCAACTTTGAACAAAATTGGAATGGGTGGCACTTCGCAAGAATTGCCGACCAATTCTGCGTAACATTGCCATGCGTACACATGCACGTGAGGGCGTGTTACAACTCGCATTTGGTGTCAACTCTTCATTTATAGATTATTCAGTGTTGGCTGAATAGCTGAAGACTTTCCCGTGACTCTTCTAGAGGGATTTCTAGACATAAAAGATACACCCGTTGACATTTCATTGGAGGGATCCTCCCATGAGTGAAGCTGCTGGGTATGCAACTGCAGAGGTCATGCCACTTTCACGTCTCGAATTCGTGGAACTCAAGGCTAGGATCCACGAAGGTCCCGAGCATCCGTGTATGCTCGCCATGGAAGTAAGCAAACCAGCCCTTTTGGCGTTTCTGCTGGGACCGTATGCTGAATGTTGGGGAGGGGATGGGGTCCCGAGGTCGACGGACTACTTGAACTCGGTCGGTACGGTAGGAGAGTGATGACGAAGTGGTGCAGCTAGGTCCAGCAGCTGGTTTGCTTACCCCAGGACTAAGCCTTGGAGAGAGAACGGACCCTTCCTCTCTTTAAGGCTTAGTCCTGAGGTAAGCAAATTGTGGCGGTTCTAAGGACCGAGTTGAAGTGGTCCGTCCACCGTCGGGGACTCCATCCCCTCCCCAACATTCAGCATACGGTCCCAGCAGAAACGCCAAAAGGGCTGGTTTGCTTACCTCCTCGTCATGAGGGTATCTACATATTGTATCGCTGAACTGCTATGCTCTCTGGTCTCTGATTCTTTTCTGCCTTTTCAGCCGCCTCTTATCTCGCTATCTGCCTCTTGAATTCCTCCATGGCGTACAATAAAGAGGCTCGTAATTTTGGTATTTTTGACGGTTTCTTCTATTTTCCCCATTTCGCATTCCTATTTTCATGTTTGAATTAGTACCATCAATATGATGTAAGGGTG